AGAAGGGCGGCGAGGAGACGACGAGGGAGGCGGCAGCCAAGGTGTGTGTAGGGGGGGGAGGGCGGCGAGTGGCGGCGGCCGCGGAGGCTTTGTCCGGGGAACGAGGAGGAGGAGGAGGAGGAGCAGGAGACACACCGCGCGGCTCGCTCTCGGCTTCCTGGCGGACTCTGACTGGCTCGCCCCGCCCGCGGCTCCTCCCGCCGTCGCCTCTCTATCTCTCTCTCGCTCTCTCGTTCTGGGCACGACGCTCTGTTTCCCCCTCCCCCGCGCTCTTGCCAACAAGGAGGGCCCTCTCTATGGTTCCCCGCCGCCGGCCGCGCACGCGCGCTCGCGAGAAGAAGCAAGGCGGGCTTGAGGGTGGCGGGTGGGGGAAGGGAGTCAACGCGGCAAAAAGAGGGAACTTGCGTTCTCGTGCAGCCCGCTCGCGCAGCCTCAGTGAGCAGGCGCGAGAGGCGAGGAGGAAGGAGAAAGGCGGGCGGGCAAGAAGGAGGGGAGGGGGGATTGAGCGAGTGGGATTGTGGGTAAAAATGTTCCTGGTCTTGGAAAAAGGGGCGGAGGGAAGAAGAAGCGCCGATGTTGAAACCGCGTTGGGAGGGGGAAATGGCGGGGAGACCCGGCGGGAAGCGGGGAAGAGGTTAAAGGTATCATGTTGCCAGAACTAATAGGGGTTTAAAGGTAAGTGAGATATTTAAGGAGTGGATTTACCAGTTCCACTCCCCCAGGGAGCATCCATGGCTGAGCAGGGATTTGAACCCACTACTACACCCACATTGGGTATCCTAAAGGGACATACTGTACTGTATTGTATACCCCCTTTAAATTTAACAGCTGACGTATAAAGACAAGCACTTCTAGCGAGAACTTTCCGTTTTAGAGCCAACTGCTAAAAAGTGCCTCGCATAACGATGTTAATTGGTTCCATTAAAAACATCGTTATGTGAAAACATTGTTAAGCGAAACACCATTTCCCATAGGAATGCATTGAAAACCGGTTAATCCGTTCCAATAGGAGCCTATTCAATACATTTCAATGGTGAAAAAAATCAGCAAAAATTCAAAAAGACTCAGAACGAAGCCAAATTACTTTAACGAAGGTTGTATTAGGTGCACTAACGATTCCGAGCATTTTAAACATTTTTTAAAATTTTAGAATATTTTTAAAATAGCGAAAAGACTGTCAAAAAAAAGAGTTAAGCGAAACAGGAGACCTAAAACTGTCATCGTTAAGTGCGAACCCACTACTACACCCACACTGGGTATCCTATAGGGACATACTGTATTGTATACCCCCTTTAAATTTAACAGCTGTCCTATAAAGACAAGCGCTTCTAGCGAGAACTTTCCGGTTTAGAGCCAACTGCTAAAAAGTACTTTTAAGCCACCCGCAGTAACATTAAAGTAATATCTTTGCTTTCTTGTTTCTCTAAAATAAAGGCAATGGAAGGGTTTCGGTTCAGGACCCAGAGTGGTTTGTGGATAACTAGAACTCAGAGGAGATCTGGGTTCGAATTCCTGCTCAGCCATGGATGCTCACTGGGGGAGTGGAACTGCTAAAACCACCTACCTACCTTGAGAACCCCATTAGGGGCGCTGTGAGTCGGTTCTGACTTGACAGCAGGTGACAACAAAGTTTTAGTTGCTTTTTTAAAAGGTGGATCTGAATGCTTCAAGACTCAAAAGATATGTTTCGCCCATCCGCTCCCAACACCTAAAGCTCTAGCTTAGCAATCACATGCTCCAAACCTACTCAGTCTATACCAGCGTCACATTATAGCAACGCCTTTTAAAAGTGTCCTGGCAAATTTTATCCTAATGCTGCCCAACTTGCATCTCTATAAATTAACAACCTCCAAAAGGTTCTGACATTTGCAAACCTACTCAGCTCTTCCAAACGCAAGGCCAAGGTATTTGCGAAGGCTTTCACGGCCGGGTCATTTACTCAAGCTCTTCCAAATGCAAGGCCAAGGTATTCACGAAGGCTTTCACGGCCGGGATCTAATGGTTGTTTTCGGGCTGCTTGGCTGTGTTCTGTGGGTTTTTCTTCCTAACATTTCGCCAGTCTCTGCAGCCAGCATCTTCAGAGGACTGGAGGAGAAACTCTTGTGTACAGTTTCCCACAAAAAGAACACAGCCAAACAACCTGAAAAGCCTACAACAACCATTGGATCCTGGCTGTGAAAGCCTTCAAGAAAACATTGCTTTCTTTATTGATTCGATTCTTCTCATATTTGGTCCTACTCTTTTCCTGCTGCCTTCAACTTTCCCCCAAGAAAACACTGCTTTCTTTATTGATTCGATTCTTATATTTGGTCCTGCTCTTTTCCTGCTGCCTTCAACTTTCCCCTCATTGTCTTCTTCATCAAGTCTTGTCTTCTCATAATATGTTCAACTTTAGTCTTCGATTTCTTAAATCTTATAGATATAGAAGACAGCTTTGCTGCTTCTCTTTTGTCATTCTTTCTTCTTGGGACTGATTTTTGTTGCTACATAATAGTCACTGAAAATTTGCATTTAAGATTCTTACCCTACTTTTTGCCCTTTTTATTTTTCCTGTCTTAAAAATGATAAGGGTTTCATCCATCACCTTTTGAGGCTTCTGTTTTACTTATTTTGTTTTACTAAAGAAACAGTCTTTTAGCATTCTTCCCTGAAAATACTCCTGCTTTCAATCCACAGTTCTGCTGGTTCAGTCAATTGAGTTTAATAATACAAACCCATACTTTATAGGGAATTGGAATTAATCAGAAATATTTTAAAATTGTATTTTGGCTCTGATTTTAGTGTTCTTATTCAACTTTACTCTAATTTTTCATACTAACAATTCAGTTTGTACCACAATCTGCTTCTGGTGTTGTTTGGCAGAGAGAATATAGCTTCTCCATCCACTACTCCAGTTACGTTGTTTATTTGATTTCTGTATTGGCCTTCTGGTTATGTCTATATGTTTGATTGCCTAAAGCGTGTATTTTCAATAAACAAGCTGACAGTTTCCCAGAATGCCATGAGTTCTCCTATGGCCAAACTCTCCAACAATGTTTAGTTCTGCTTTGTGTCTTTATTTTGCTTCCCAGTCACCTATATCTATCTATATCATGTTTTGGTATGTGGTCCAAACCACGACCCAAACCACAAAGAAGCCTGTTCGTGGTTTTTTTTTTCAGGGTCATACTGTAGTTCAGGTCTTGCCCATTTCTCATAGCCACTAATATATTCATTTCATTGAGTCACAAAAAAAACGTATGTCAGCAGTAGACATGGGCATTTCATGTTCATATCCAGGGGGTACAGATATGATGCATGGCACCACAGGTGCCACAGCAGTTCATTCCCACCTCCCCAGAGCCAGCCGGGCCCACTTACCAGGCTCCATGCAGGACATGCATCCGTCAGCGCCAGCATAACGCCAATTGCAGAAGTAGTCCCACCACTGCTTCCCCGCCTCCCCTCACAGCCAACCCTTCAGCAGCTGAGCAGAGAGACTCATCTTCCCACCTCCTCACTGGAGTGGTCGGCTGTGGGAAGAGGCAGGAAAGCACTGGCAGGACTACTTCCACGGTTGGTGCAACAGGACACCAAAGCCAAGTATATTTGTTGTATCCAGCAATTTTAGGATGGATGTATTTTAGGGTTGGCTGTATTTATTTGTCCTCGATGTGGGTGCGTTCTTCTTCAGGTGGCTTCACTTCATTATCTATTGCAGGAGGACCTTACAGATGTCTCTGCTGCCATCTCCACTTCAGCATCCTGAGACATAAACACTCTGTAAGGCAGGGGCATTTATCCACCAGGATGTCATTACCTGGAAAGATGAGATCTTCTATAATAGAACCACGCTCTGTCTCCATTTTTTTTTAATCAGAGAGGAGGCTACCAGGTTGGACTTGGAAGTCCACAGCAGGATGTTCTGATTTCCTCCTGCTGAAATATATTCAAATATATTGAACAGATTTGCATCATCCAAAGAAAATTTGGCTATGGTAGATCCATCCCTTGCTGCAGTCTGAGGTGAACAATCCATCTAACTTGCAGTCATGAACTATGCACTGCAGGTAGTATATCACTAAATAGCTGAGGTATAAATCAAAGTAATCTCAGTTTGAATCTCATACTTTATAAGCCAAGCAGTAGGGTAGTGGTAAATTATGAAGCACAGGCACCAGTCAGGACAGACCCCCCCTCAGTCTCTCCCCTCAAAGGAAGCTATGTTGAATCATACCAGCAAACCAGTTCTAACAGAGTGCATCTTTACAAGGAACGTGTATGTTGGGAAATCCATCTCTACCAAACGCATTTGTGCTAACCAAGAAGTCCTGGTGACAATCCTTGCCAACTTTGACTCCACTACATCAGTGATGTCGTGAATTGATGACATGGCTTTAAGCAAGTCTACAGATATGTGAAGAAAGATTACCTGATCAATGCCAGACTGATTGTTACAGCTTCATCAACAAACTATGTATCAACTGGCAACTGGTATGGTTTTAGAAACTAGTGTTGTGTGGGAAACTTCTGCCTAAAGGTTGCAGTTGTGTTCTCTTCCAGTGACGTGCAAACACTCCTGGCAGGTCAGAGGCTGCCAGTGGACAGGGTAATCCCTCATTCTGCCTTTTCGCTTAGAGCATTAGATCAAAGAGTTTCCTCAGCCAATCCTGGTTATGATTAGGTAACTAGTATCCTATCTGAATTCTCACAACATACTAAGTATGAGTTACATAGTCAATAAAGGGAGCACTCAGGGCGTTGCCTGGAGGCTCCGCTGGCTCGGACATCTGCTTGTTGACTCTTTGTACTTTCTCTAAGGCTAATTGCTTTCCTATTGTTTTGTGATCACCCACATCATTAGCCTTCCTTTGTTTCATGATCACCGACAGTGTTGGATCAGGATAAGGGGGAGAATAATTAAATGACTTGAGCCCAGTCATACTTTGTTTGCCTGGCCCATCTATCACACAGGACTACTGTACAAGGGCTAGGAGGAAGAGAACAATAAACAGTCATCATTCACTTAAAAAACCTTTTTAATGCAAATCAAAACAAATGGCACTTTCTCCTTGTGTATTTTCCTTTTACCACTGGCTTTAATGCTTGAGCCAATACTCTCTGACATCATCAGCCAAACCCTAAATCCCATCCCCAAGCTCAAGCCTCCCGAGGGATCCCTTTCATCTTGGGAAATCCTTTGGTGGCTGGAGTGAGGAATCTTTAATCTTAAATGTTAAAGAAAAAAACTGGGAGGGTAAAAATCCTTCTCTGCTCCTTTCCATTTCCTTACAGAAGAAAGAAAAAAAGGTCCAGCCCAAACTAGTCACATCAGGCAGTCACGTTGCTGAAGGGAGATGCCTGCTAGAATTTGGTGAACCAGGATTTTCTTCCAGAAGGTTGAAGACAAAAAACATATATACAAAGAGTGTGAGCTAATAAGTTTGGCAAGCTTGGTTCCCAGTTTGTAGAGTACATAGGAGATATGCCCAACCTGCCAGGTCCAGCCCTCCCAGCATGCAACAATATGATCCACACTTGAAACAACATGTCAATGCAATATTCAAAGGGCAGATGGCTTATGGATGTCATGCCTTGTGCTTTGTGTATGAGTGTGCATTCATGTGCGCACATATGTCCATGCACCCATACACATGTGCACCCATGGCATGAAAACTTCCTTAAAGTCTTGTAACATCATGTAAGGGGGAAGAAAACTGCCAGGGAAACTATGGAAAGGAACAGCTAAGAATCCAACTGTAGAAGCTGCAGGTAGGTAAAACAATTCAACAACATCAGCAGCTAAAGAGGAAAACAAATCAGAATTTTTTTTAAAAAAGTGACAAAACTTGAGTAGGTGATGGGATTTTAATACAGTATCTTGAATGAGAAGGGTTTGTTTTTCTGCTTATTCCTCCCCCCCCAAACAATGCAATCTTAATATGTTAAGACAAGATTTCCCTTCCTATGGTGACTGAGAGCTGAGAAGCAACAAGGAAATATCTGAGCATAAAAGACCTACAGACAAAGTGCCTTTTCAAAAGTAGGTTTTCTGACTGTCATTACTCAGTGCATGATCTCAATAACATCAGGAGCGTGTTCCCTTTCTGTTGGGATTGATTGGGATTAGGCAGGAGTCTTCAGTGAAGGGTGCAATTTGCACAAACAGAGCCGGGTCTCTTTCATGGGTGGACTGTGGGTTTTTCTCATATATATATATATATCTCAGAACTTAACTGTGAGGTTGTAAAAAAAAAGGCAAACAACAGACAGAGATGAATAATGAAGCAACATTATTATCTGGCTTTCTGATTAGTCCTCCAAGACCACAATTTCGACATTATGGACTTGATGCTGATGCTCGTCAACCTCAGCTACCACCTTCTCCTCAGTCCTCACTTCCGTCCCTAAGATCACAGCTTTGGCCCCCGGTTCTTCCGTCTCACCTTCTGGATCAGGTGCTGGATCTATTTCTATGATGGTCTGTCCCTCTTCAGAAGTGCCGTCAACAGCCTGGATAGCCGAGGTCAGGCCAGATTCCATGGCCACCAGTTCCACAGGGTTCACCACTGTGGCCACGTTAGTAAGGCCACCGCTGTCCTGCACAGCCGCTGAACTCAGCAGGGCCAAGCTCGAGGAGGGGTGAAGGGTCAATGTGTCAGAGGAGTTGGTCTTGGAGGAAGAGACCACGGTGGCATAGCGGAAAAGCTGGGAGCCTGATGGCAAAGTGTGAACAGTCACTGGGCTTGAGCCCTGGCTGATAGTGGCGGTGGGAATGTTGCTCACAGAAAACTGCTGCCCCATCGGTGCAATGGTGATCGGTGAAATCACGGTGAACTGAGGCTGCTGGATGGGGGCCGAAGGGCTTAAGACAGTGGCTGATGCTGGACGCTGCAGCCGAGGCCTCTTGGGGGGTTTTGGGGTGCTGACAGGCATTAGGACCACGTTTTGTACAGCCTGAGATCTGATCTTCTGATCTCTAGTGATCTTCTTCTGCTCCTCCAGCTGGCGGCCCAGGTCTGCAAGAACAATTTGTTGTGCAGTCAATTGGGAGAGAAAAGCCTTAAAAATACCAAGAATATGGCACAGGGGTGAACAAGCACCACAAGTCAGTAGACCATTTTTCCTTCTCCAGGGTGCTCAGTCTGCTGCACTAGCCACTCCCAGTGAAACTGGGAGAGACTGGAAGGTCAGTTCCATTTCAAGTTTGAAAAGGTCAATTCCATTTCAAGTTTGAAAACAGGAAAACAAGGAGGATATGCGTTGTTGTAGAGGAAGATAATTCCTCCAGGAATGTAATTCTCCTGTATTTTTAAAACAAAATTTAAAAAAAAAGTGGGGGAAGTAGTCTGAAAATCTCGGGTGAGGGTTAGGGGCTGAAACAATGGATCAGGATGCATCATTTGTACCTTTGGCATAGCAGGAAAAGAAAGGTGGGACACACAGAGCTATTTCTGCATGGGTAAGAAAGCAGCTTCTTAGCACAGAGTTAATTTTCAGTTGCTATAGTTCCCATCAGAAGGTTGGTAAGGTGGGAGGAACAGATTGTCTCTGCAGACAACTCCAATTCATCCAGAGATCATAAAAGGGGAGGAGGCAGAGGAGGAAAAACATTCAAGATTCTCCCTCCTTAAATTTGTCATTCTATTAAAGCCGTCCAGATTGCTGACAAGCAGGCAACAAAGACTGCTAGAATGAAGATCTCATGGATAATACACCACTCTTTGAACATGAACCTAACGCATCAAGTGTCCACTCTTTGAACATGAACCTAACGCATCAAAAGTGTTTCCAGCTGTTCAATATGACTGTGTTAGTATGACACTCATGTAGATAAATTAAAGGGATTGGAATGCCTACTACCACACAATAATAAATTGTAAACCCAACTAACGCTAATAATTGCAGCAGTTATAAATAAAAAGTCACTGTACAGTGGTGCCTCGCTTGACAAGGATAATCCGTTCCAGCGAAATCGCTGTAGAGCGAAATCCTCATCAAGCGAAATAAAAAAGCCAATTGAAACGCATTGAAAACCATTCAATGCGTTCCAATGGGCAAAATACCTGCTCGTCCAGCGAAGATCCTCCATAGGGCGGCCATTTTCGGGTGCCTGTGCAGCGAAAAATGCCTCCTAAAAACAGCGGGGAGACATTTAGAGCAGCTGGCGGCCATTTTAAAAAGCCAACGATCAGCTGTTTTGATTGTCGGAATGCAAAGAATAGGTTCCCGAAGCAGGGAACCAATCGTCGGAAAGCGAAAAAAGCCCATTAAAACATTGTTTTGCGATCGCAATTGCAATCGCAAAAACACCATCGTAAAGCAGATTCGTCGTCAAACGGGGTAATCGTTAAGCGGGGCACCACTGTACTGAATAAGATACTGTACTACAAAAATACATCAACACATCATAATTAGAGAAAACCATTAAGTGGAATATATGAGACAGCAAATATGTGAGCAAAAATACTTAACTTGGGGCCAAACTTTGCATGAGTGCAAGTACAATGCATGTTTTAAAAAAAATCTTACAGTAACCTGGCTGTGGGAGGCTAAAAGAAGGGTGATTTTGAGAGAAGAGAAATGGCCTAGGTGCAAAACACTTAGAAACAAACACACTTTTTATACAATGAATGAATGTGTTTAGAATATTCGAAGGTCTGTTCTCAATATTGAACATACCTGCAAGTGTATAGAGGAACTGCTCTTCTCCCTGATCTGTTTGACTCTTCCTGTTGTCCAGCACTCTCTTGACTGTGTCCATCAGGCCAAAAGTATGAGCAACATTATTTAAGACAGCAGCATCTGTAAGAACATTAAGTTGCACACTGTTGGATCAAACCAAAGTCCTATCTAATAAAGCATTCTATTTACACACTTGCCAATCAGACGTTCGCAAGCAGGACAATTATTGCAACAGCAGTCTGCTGTTCCCGTTGTCCAACAAATGATATACAACACATAAATGCTATTAACAGCCTTATCTTCCATGAAGTTGTCCCAACCCTTTTTAATCTGTGTTGCTCTTGATGCATCACCAGGTAGTAAATCTTACTATACAGATGGATGCAGTGTGGAGAAATACTTCCTTGTACCTTCCATGAGTTATAGTCCAATATTCTAAAGGGAGATTTAGTATCCAGTCAGAAAAAGATGGAGGTTCTCCTATTTTCCAGTACAGAACTGCCTACTGCTTCTGTAGCTGTTGTGTATGAGCTTCACTATAACAAGACGTACCTACAAAGCAGAGTTTGTAAAACTTAAAATTTTGCCTATATTTGGCAGAACCCTGCAGCCAACATGGAAACTGGCCTTGCTGCTGGGGGATTCTAAGAGCTGGAGTCCAAGCAAAACCAAACCACTTACATTATGTCCAGAACTACAGTTACAAGAGTATTTTTAAAAAAAAATTAAGGAATTTTAAAAAACTACAACAAATAATATTTTTAAAAAAAATCTAATAAACAAACTAAAGAGAAAAACCCAGATTACATACACTGTGCACCCCAACACCAGGACCATTAGAGAGTAACCGCTTAAACCATTTGCCCTCCTTGAGCCTTCTTTTCCCTTCCAAAATTGTATTGACTCATGTTTTAAACTTTTCCTTTCCCCTTTATCAATATAAAATCAACCAATTATCCCCATATATCTGCAAAAATACCTTTACTATTTATCCCCTTAACTTCTATATTTCATATAAGTTTCATCAATTGCTATATCCCAAACCTCTCTATACCATAAAGGTAAAGGTTCCCCTTGACATTTAGTCCAGTCGTGTCCGACTCCAGGGGGTGGTGCTCATCCCAATCTCCAAGCTGCAGAGCCAGCGTTTGTCCATAGACTGTTTCCGTGGTCACGTGGCCAGCACAACTAGACACGGAACGCCGTTACCTTCCCACCATGGTGGTACCTATTTATCTACTCGCATTTTTACATGCTTTCGAACAGCTAGGTGCTAGGTTGGCAGGAGCTGGGACAAGCAACGGGAGCTCACTCCGTCGTATGGATTCGATCTTACGACAGCTGGTCTTCTGACCTTGCCGCACAGAGGCTTCTGCAGTTTAACCCACAGTGCCACCACGTCCCCTCTCTATACCATAATGATATATTAATCCAATTTCTAGCTTGCTGCTGTTAAGATATTAGAAACTAGTCCTCTGTGCCTACTTATCTCCCCTTTCAAATATTGATAAAGATATTATTTTAGAAAATACAGCTAAATTTAAGTTGCTCATTTTATTTATCTTTTTAAAACTTAATTGCCAAAATTTATATATATATTTCACATTCATACCACATGCGAAAATAAAAGCCTATTTTTGGCACCCTCTCCAGCAAATTTTAGAACTATTATCATCTATTTGATTAGGTTTCACTGTAGTTGCCATTTTCATACTAACTTATAAAAATTATCTTTTATCCTTACTGACATAGATCTCAATATTCTAATATTCCACATATTTTTCCAAGCACTACAGCTTGGAAATCCCAAATCTCCTTCCCATAACATTAAGTAAACTCTCCTGCTCTTCTGCTTATATTTCTGCAAAATATAAATTTTACTTACTATACCATTCCCTATCTTCTCTCCTACTCTTTTTTTTCCTGTAAAATAATTCCTTCAAATTTTGTAGCTTCACTAAATTTACCACTTCTTCGTCCACTGTTCTAATCAGATAACATTTTACCAAGAAATAAAATTTATTTTATTTGTTCTTTATTCCCCATTTTTTCTAGCCAGTCCTAGATCTTTATTATTTTTTCAGAATACGTATGTTTATTGTTTGCATAATGGTAGCAGCATTTTTCCCTCTATTGTTTTATGGAAAAGAGTCTTTACTTTTCTTAAAGGTCTTATAATACTCTGATCCTAATTCATTAATACCTGGCATCTTCTCTATTTTTAAATTAATCCTCTATTAAAATGATATTCTGTTATTTCAGCTTACCTCAACCTATTGCTACTCCTTAAGAGTCCACCTTTAGCTAACTTTAGGACATACATTATGCTCCCCTAGCTTCTCCCTCTCCCTTTGTCTCTTATAGACTATGACTTTTTATAGACTATGACTTGTGAAAAATGTTAATTTTCCAGTTCATATCCCTTCCTACTGATCCCGTTCAAAGTTGAGTCTCTCTGGAATTTCCCTATCTATAAAAAATTGTTAATAACCACTTCTTCACTCTCATATTCCAATCATATATCCACTTTAAATTTTCTTACATCTTCTTCATAACAATATTCAATTCCCTTTTCCCCAAAGTCTCAACCCTTTTTCTCTTTTGTTCCTCAGATAGTTCCAAACTACCTGAACATTTTTAAAGTTAAGTTGATTCTCCCTGTGTAGCTGAAGGGCCAGGCAGTATTCTTTCTAGTTCATTACTCTTTTGCGCTCCTTGCATATCTTTGTCTGATATACTAGGTTGATCAAGTTGTTGATCATCCCACTCTTATTCCCACTCTTGGTCATCCATCAAGCCCCATTTGTGAAGAGTGTTTAGGCCTTCCTCAACTGATGTTTGTTATCTTGTACATTTTCTTGGCATAAAAAACTCTCAGGAAAAACTGAGTACCCCCAGAAATATTCTATATTGTGCTATATTTCTTTCTTATATAACTTAGCAAAGCACACCACAATATATCTGGGAGCTGTTCTTCTGCTAAACCCAATCAGTTACAAGAGTTATGGGGGGGAGTCATGACAGCTACATCTGCTCAACCACCCCTTAACACTTCTCTCTTTCTTTTATTGATACACAATATTTCATCAAGTTTGAAGGAAGAGATTATGATTGTAATCTATGCCTGCATTTAACAATCAGATGCCTGTTTAAAAGAGATTTGAGAAACCAGTCTATTAAGGATCATACTGAAAAACTCTTTAAAATTGTTAAGAACACTGGACTTAACGAATAGATTAAAGGCTTACCTCGTCCACTATTCTAATTCCTCTATTGGCCCACCAAAGACCTACAGAAAGCACAAAGCCAAAACAAGAGGCCGGTGGCCCTTTCCTCCTATTCCACAGAATCATAGAATGGAGTTGGAAAGGACCTATAAGGGCATCAAGTTCAACCCCCTGCTCAATGCAGGAATCCAAACCAAAGAATATCTCACAGGTGTTTGTCTATCTCTTAAATGCCTCCAGTGTTGCAGCTATTTCAAACAATCAAAATATTTTACTTGCTGTCCTGTTTTACTATGTAAATGTTCTTCACATTAAGAACATTTTGTTAATGCCCCCAACCAGCCTTGACTATGGAATGGTCTCTCAGAGATGTTTGCCTGGAACCACCAAAGCTGATACTTTAGCAAAGCCAGACAAAAACATTTTCCATCATTGTCCTCCTCTTCAGTAGCAGCCTGGCCATTCCAACATGTTTCATAGCTGCTTTAGTACTCTTTTACAGATGTGCTGAATTTTTTAAAAGTTTGGGTTATGGCTTCTGCAATTTTTACAATATTAAAAAAAAATTTATAGCACTGGCATAGAATGCAGCAGACCTCCTACCCACCGGTAATCTGCAAGGATGACTGGCCAAGCCTCTGCTGTACACCTTTCAGCACCTCTTCTATCTCCTTCTGAATGTTGCAGACAACTTCTTCCATCAACCCCACATCAGCGATTCCTTTCCAGAACATGAGTGTATCCTCTGGCACAAGAAAAAGGAGAGACTTGGAAGGAAGAAATAAACTAGGAGTTGTATTGCGAAGCTAAACTGATCAGCATGCCAAGACCAGCAAGTTGTTATGCACCAGAAGGCACTTCTGGAAATTGCCTCTTCAGTAATCCACCAAGACCTGAAGGTGCAAGGGAAAATTCCCCACCACTAGGATCCACTACAGACTGCTCAACCTCCATTTAAATAGAAAGGCTGTAAAATTGTGATTTCACAGCTTCTGCAAGTCTACTGAGTCTTCTCCTCATGGATCCTACAACCTTCAAACCGTTACAGCTAAAGGAGCAACTGGAACAGCCCCAACAATGAAGGACTTGGGAATTTTAAGGAAGGATACTTATCTCGATTTCTAGCAACACTTTTGTCAGTCAGACTTTTTAAGGTTCCTGTGTAATAACTTTTATTTTTGCCAACTGTATTAAAGATCAAGTATGAGATAGAAAAACTGTATACAGTACAATTATTTTATACAAACGAAATGGAGACAGTAATAGAATTTCTGCAGTATGCACAATAAAGTTGATTCCACAAATGGAGAAAGTATGGTCTTCTAGATGTTCATAGACTCCATGTCCCAGCAATTCTAGCCAACAAAGCAACTGACAGGGGAGCTGTTGGACGGCAATCCGATTATCTAGAGGATGACAAGGGCGATCCAGTGTGGTGTTGCAGCAGACAGAGTAATGGACCAGGACTCAAAAGACCTGGTTTAATTTCCTGGCTCTGCCATGGAAACTCACTGGGGAGTGCAGCTGATAAAACCACTCCTTAAATATCAGTCTGATCTTGGAAACCCTATTAGGGTCACTGTAAGTCAGTTCTGACTTGACTGGATATAACAACAGAGGACTACAAGCTCCCCAGCTCTGTTTTAGACACAGAGGTTATCTTTGGTGAATCTGCATATTTTTAATACCAAAAACATGTGGCGTGCTATAGGAACTACGTCAGATGGGAAAGGGAACAGGATCATAGAGCAGCCTTCCCCAACTTGGTGTTCTCCAATAGCCATGGTGGCTACAGATGCTGACAGTCATAATCCAACAGATCTGGAAGGCACTAAGCTCAGGAAGACTGCCATACAGAAGTCTCTACGTATGTCAATACTTATTAAGAATTTCTGAGTTCTGAAGTCGGGGAACAAGAGCAGAAGAAAGTTTTTCCCTTCGTACCTTACTTGTTTGTTACATTTCTAGCCTGCCTTTTATGCAGTGAGCTGAATATGGTATACAAGGTTGCCATCCTGCTAACTACATCCTCACATTCATCTATAGTTGGTTGGGTTGAGAAAGTGAGTTTCCTAAATCAGTAAGACTCGGAGTTGAAGACTTCAAAATCCCACAATAATGCTTCAACCACCTTACCACAATAGCACCAAACTGGCTGTATCTGATTGATCATTGGCAGAAACAGAATGTACTAATGTAGACAGACCTTTGGCTGATCCAGTAGAGATCCTCCCAGTTGGTTACACAACTGGACATGAACAAGCAATGGCTTGTGTAGATGAAACATCGATCCCAGGTGAGAAACAGGACTTTTGTATTATCTCAAATGGAATATTTGTGGTTCATCTTATGTTTAGACGAGAGGCATCAAGTGATGGCCATGTAATATGCATGTCTCTGTGAAGCAGCTCACAAGAACTACAGTAAGTACTAAACCTCCTTTAGCTGATGGCTTACCCACTGATAATTTTTTTCTTCATTCATGAGTTTTATGCTTAGGTCAGCAACAACATTCCCTCAGCCATGCAGGCATGCAGTGCTGCATCGGGAGCATGCAGCTGAGCCAGTGTTGCCACTCATTTGTTTCCTTCCAGTCATGGTCAGACACACACACCCCGCACACACAGACACACAGAGGACACGGCCCCCGCCCAGCGCTCTGGAAAATCAGAGGGAATGTTGGACTCAGCAAATGGTATGTACTGTCCCATCTGAAAGACTCTACCTCTGAAAAACCTGTTGCAACTCAGCAATCCAGATATTGAATACTAACTACTATTATGTGGCCACACACAAAATTTAAGTACTGATATGTGTGTGTGTGAAGAAGGAAACCAGCAGACTGGTGACTCATATAGGCAAATGACAAGAACATACCTGAAATCTCCTCTGGGTCTTTCTTGATTCCCTCATCAGTTGCCATGGTGACAGCTGCTGTCAGAGCAGAGTTCCATTCAATCCCTTCCTCCACACTCTCCTCAGATACTGCAATCTGTGTGATGCTTCCTGCAGTACATGAGAATACAAGTCAGGATAGTTCATGGACAAACTGTCAAGGTGGCTTTGCCAGGCTGGTTTATACAGACTGTCAGCCACCTATGCATTAGCAGAAATCCAGAAAAAGAACTGAACCACTAAATCCAACCAGGCTCTCTCTAGATTTCTTGGTTTACAGTTCCTATCATCCCAGCCAATAGGGTGGTCCCTCACGTCTGGAGGGCATCTAGTCAGGATCCCACTGATCAAAGGAAATCCAATAACCAAGATAAACATTACAACACACAGCACAAGAAAGAAAGGGGCTGCCAGAAAAAAAAGAACTATTCTCCGTGCCCAACATAGAAACGCAATCAAAGAACACAGCTGCACCAAAAATCCAGGAAAATACTTTTCTGGGAAGTATTAATTTTTGTGGGCTTCCTTATAATGTAAAATGTACTGGCTACACATTGAACCATAATCAGATTCTTGTATTTCAGTGGTTCTTTACAAGCTTAAGTTCTGCCCACAGATAAGGACTTCGTAACTAATTCTAAATAGAGCCAGTAACACAAGGTATTAATGTGGAGAAAAAGTTCATCTTACTGGCATATTATATTACTGTATTATGAATTTAAATTATGAGAGAAAGCACCAAAATAGAGACACTTCATAATCTTATTCATAAGAGAGGAAGGATGCAAACAACAAATGCCTTTGATGAGGGGGAAATGGTGCCATAATTTGCATGGGATTTGCATTACAAAGGAACGAGTTCTGCTTGCACTTCAAGCAACTTCTTTTAAAAATAATTAGGAATTTTGCCAGCTTCATTAGACACAAAACTGGACTAAGTGGTAGGGTTTCAAATAAGAATAAACTGCCAGAAAGCAGAATTTGCAAAAAGGTACCCAACGTCCAAATTTTAAAGAACCAAAAACAGCAGGAGATAGGGAAAGCTCCAATGTCTACTCTTATAACAAGATACGAATCAGAAGGGGGGGGGAACAATTCCACAAAGAAGGTTCTCAATCTTCCATAGGCTTTGGAATGTTGTGCTTTTCAAAGGGTTCCCTAGAACCTTCAATTTTTTCTTAAGGTTTCTCAAAGAAAATAAGAAAATAGTAACACTTTGTCTTCTGTTTCTGTTTTCTTTAGAAATGCAAAGTTGCAGGAAAATGTCAGGTGTTCTCTAGCAAGCTGCACAAGACAACAGCTAGACCCAGCAGAGCAATCCAGGATCTGATACAAACTAGGAGCAGCCTCTAAGAAAACTCCAGAAATCTTTACAATGAGGTGGAGAAACTCAGGCCCTAGGGCTGAATCTGGGTTTCCTTGGATGCCCTTGTTTGCTGATTCCCTTTGTATGGCTTTTTCCTCATTCCAAAAATCTGAAACGCCTCTTGTAACAGTTAGTTACTGGCATTAATGACTGTCAACCAAGATATACTAGTATGTTTGTTACTATCCTTTTGCCTTTTAGCTCCCAATCATGGGCCCCCAGAATGTCTCTGAAACTGAATCTGGTCGAGCTGAAAGAAGTTCTTTCATTCTTCCTCTGCAACATTCCAAGTTGCAGCATCTCCTTAGATCTCGGGGACAAGACAAGAAAATGCAAAATAAAAAACTACAATGTTTGCTGCATTTCCACTTTACTGCTTTCTCCTTGAAGAAACGAGCTGACTCTCTCAAGGAGAGGAGTAAGAACTGGACGAAGCAGTGGTGCTTGGTAGTGGATACTTGTTTGATGCTGCCTAGTAAGAAAAGATGAGGAAAGGGGAAATGACAGATGGCAATGCCACCCCCACCCCCGTCCCCAGCAGGAACAAATTCTACTCCTGTTCACCTGTTCCCTACCATCAGCAGACGTTGGAGTCTGAACCATGCTTTGTTGCCCTGGTACGGGTGCCCTGGCACTGCTGATCAGGAGGTCAAATTTGGTGCTGCGGCAGGTGTTTGTGCAAACTTTGTCATGCTGATAGAAGTCAATTTGGCCAGAGTCCATCATTTTTCTGTGGAGAAAATGGAAAACAAAGCTCACAGGGTTGAAACCCACTCTGGATATTTGCCTGAAGGGAAAAAAAACACAACAAAGACTGCATATTTTGGGCGCAGATTACACATTAAATGTGCACTTCGTATCGTGTATTGTACCTTCACAATCTTACAATGCAATGATAGGATTTCATATTTTCAGTAATTTTCAGTAGTGCAAGAAAGTCATTCTTCTCTCCTGCTAGTCTTCATGGGTGCCAAGAGACGATTACAAGTGTGTGGGCAATCCTTGTCAAAAATCTCAGAAGCTGGGGAATGCATTGAACAGGATTTTGTCACTGCTCTTTTTTCAGACAACAAGAATCAAAATGAATTAATAAATGAATGAATGTACCTTTTCCTGAGTTACAGTAAAAAATCTGACTTTTATTGACCTAGTCCCACAGGAACGACTCTGTATGTGTGTCCAATTTATATAATCAAAGGTACTAAGAAACAAGCAGCAGGAGAAATGACGTAGTCAGAAGAAAAAACTGTTTTAACAGGGACTGGGGATCTAAACAATATTATGTTACAGGGATATTGGCAAGTCTTCGTGTCCAAGTCCCAAGTCCAAGTCTTTCATACCAAGTCCCGAGTCCCAAGGCCCAAGTCAGAGTCCCTATTCAAAATAAGCTTTTTCCTGAGAAAAAAAGGGAGGGGTGGGTGGGTTTTAAGTTTTGAGTCAAATCCAAGTCATTGGAAAAAAAAACTCCAAGTCAAGTCACCAGTGTGACGACTCTAGTCCCCATCCCTGGTAAGTTTAAGTGAAAAAACATAAAATGACTTCTTAATTGTATTGCCTACATTCTGCCTATATTTTATGATACCCTTCTGTTGTTCTCTTTCAATCCTATCTCAGATACTCCTATTCCAACATTCACTATGCCAAACTTTTAACTGGCAGCAGATAAAAGATATGTGCACAAATGGGTTCCGAAGAAATCTTTCACAGAAATCCACAGCAGATTTTGAGAAGAAATGGCTCGCAGCGGCAGAAGGCCATTACCTCAGCATGATTCCTCCAAGGCGAATAGCTCGCTTCCAATCCTTCAGGGTAGATTTGCCAGCCAGATGAACAAAGTGCTTTGGGCTGATGAGCTGGTCATTGAACTAACAAATGGATAGAGGAAAAGAAGGTAACTAATTTCTTTCCTTCCACTCTCTCTCCATGTCAGCAAGGCAGTCTCATAAATCACAAATTCATATAGTCAAGTCATTCTGGGAACTTGTGAATTTAGCCTTAGTGTTCAATAACAGAGAGGGTAGGTAGAAGCTGTTCTTCTATATTCCATACTAGTACTTTCAAACTTTTCAAAGGGTTCATCCACAACATGTTTTCTTGCCTCTATCATAGATATCCATGTTACTCTATTTCTCCCTGAAATAACTAGAGGCAACTGGGGAGAATCCTGTATCTTTAGAAACAGTGCAGAAAAGGGAATTTTGGCAGGCATTGCTTTCCTCATCCAGTACAGCAATTTGAACCTATCAACAGTCCATCTTCTATTAAAGGTACATAATAAGCCTCTTCATGGCTTTTCATTACGACTATCCCAGCTGAGTGGTGGTGGTGGAAAGGACTAAAATGTAGCCCATAAAGAAGAAAAATGTAGAAACAAGCGAAGAAAGAGTCATCATGTATTACCTTGACACATTTGACATTTATTCCGGGGCAAACAAATTTCTTCCAGAGCAGCATTGCTTTACTCTCTCCACATGTGATGGGATAAGCAATCTCAATTTCCTCATTGTTTTCAATGGCACTAGCATCTGTAGGCAGAAGAGGGGACGGAATGGACACTGTTCATTTCCAAACAACAAACAATGTAAAGAAAGACTCTAAAGTCAGTCCCAGAGCGCTTTGGATTCCAGTTCTTGGAATCATGTTGTAGTCCAAAATAAGAATTTTTCCAAGCCCTGACTCAAATAATTGCTTCACCTAGTCCAATGAATGCCAGTTATCCTCAGTATCTCAAGCAGAGTTTTTCCCCCCAGTTTGCTACCTGGAATGTGAATTACTAAATATGAGGGCCAACGAGTACAGGGTGTGTACTTCATCACCTCCTAATTTATGTATCATATTTATAAAGCACTCTGTATTCAAGAAACAATTGCTGAGTGGTTACAAAATACCAACACCAAAACAAAAACGTGTAAAACAGTGGCTAAAGCTTGCTGAATTAAAAATAATCAAACAATGAAGTTGATATCCTAAAAAGCTTGAAATCAGACGTTAGAACATTCCACAGAGTGGGAGCTGGTCTATGAGAAGCTCTATTCAGAGTGGTCTACAGTCAAATATTATCCTCCTTAATGGCCAAGAAGCAGTCAAGTTGGTTGTTTTGTCCAAAGGCATCACATTACAGTGACACAAGCCTGTGTGCTGTATTTGGATTTTTAAAAAATCAAACAATGCTTTGATGCTAACTAAAAGTGGACAATCCTAATCTTTTGTCCTCACGCACAAAGGGAGCATATTGACCAAAGACTCATCATTGCTTGCTCTTGTCCTGACAAGGCACAATCTGTTATTACATTTGAACAGAGCACCAACTTAAGCTAGTTTTCAGGCCTTATACAGAACTTTGTTAAAACCGGAGATAAAACATAGTACTCATGTGCATTCTCTTAGGACACTTGCTCCAAATTCATAAACTTCTAAATGTAAGGAACACTTGCTACATGAAAATCGCCAATTATTTCATTGATCTATTTAAAAAGAGACTCTCAACAGTTGGGCTTTCTCAGATCTTTCTACAATTCATAAACTATCACTCTGTCCCAACAAAGGAGTGACATGGCAATAGAAGACAAGATTTGATTAGGATTCAGGTTCAGCACTTTGGATAGCAGATCACTTCACCTTGATCACTATCAATCACTATCAACACAGCCTGCTTCACTATGGGCATGAAATGATGTCTTGTATCGGAAATCTTAAGAACTGTATATTTTTCCATTTGTCATGGGGAAATGGGTAGGGACACAGAATGGAAGCCCATTCCTTGTCAAGACCTCTTGGTGAAATAGGGTCACGGAGAGAGAGAGTTACCCCAACTGTTTCTGAAATGCAAGTATCATTTGCCTCCAGTGCAAACTGGGCTTGCCTATAGAGCAAAGGAACCATGTAGACCCCAAAATACTGAATCCTGCCAGAGACTCTTAGGGAAAAGCTTATATGTGCCTTCACTCTCAGTACCAGAAGTGGCTGATCTGAGTATGCATTTATTGGGAGAGTGATCAAGGCTTCAGAGACATCTGATGTTTCAGGATCACACTGCTTTGATTCAACCACTTTGAGGGAAAATGAATGTTGTCTCAGTGGCAGTACAAATACTTGGAAAGTGACCCAAACAGACTTGCATCTCTGCTCAGCTAAATTCAGCTTTATTTTATTATTTTATAATACCACTGAGAAACTCACCAATGCCTTCTTCAAGCTTGTGTATGGTGTGTGTCTCCACGGCCACTACAGCTGTACCCGTCTCAGAACTCTCTTGATAAATCCTGTGGCAAAAGGACCCATCAATGAACAAATTCTATAAAATGTATACAGTTTGTTAGGAATAACCTAACATTTTAAAAATGTGCATGGCTTAGGATCAGGTTACCTGAAGAAATACCTGCCTCTGCATCAATCTGCCTATATATTAAAATGATAAGTTCAATAACTTTTATAGGTGTGTCTCCCCATCAAAGATTAGAACATTTTCGCCACAAAGAGGCCTGCACTGTTTCAAGACCAACTAAATATATTCTTATTTCATCAACATTTAACTGTTAAGCACTGATAGTTTTGTTGCCGCCACCTTTTAAGCTTATCAATATTTTTATAACAGTGTTACATTTTTACTTATTACTGTACAAGCTGAATATATTTTACTAAATAAAGGGAAATATAAACATTAAAAAATAAGAAATACATTTTGTATAACAAAAAACACTACTTATTTTCTTGCTAACTTATTAAAGAATCAATATACTATTCTAATTCAGAAACAAATAGATAACTAAAACAAAAAGGTCTGAGGAAGTGGACTTGTCTACGACAGCTCACATTAAAATACAGCAGTTAGTCTTTAAGGTGCCACAACTTTTTTTGTCTATTTTTTTTCTTTTGTTTTTGTCTGATATGCTAGCACAGACTAACACCGCCTATCTCTTCTAAAACAAAGAAGCTGTTACTATCATCATGAAATTCATATACTCAATATTCAAAGATAAATCCTCAAACTTACCATGTTTCCACAAAAATAAGACAGGGTCTTATATTAAGTTTTGCTCCAAAAATGCATTAGGGCTTATTTTCAGGGAATGTTTAATTTTTTTCATGGACAACAATCTACATTTATTCAAATACAGTCATGTTATCTTCTGGTTGCTGCACAATGGTAGAGGTTTCACTTAACTGGGGCTTATTTTGGGAGTAGGGCTTATATTATGAGTATCCTGAAAAATCATACTAGGTCTTATTTTCAGGTTAGGTCTTATTTTCAGGGAAACAGGGTAATAAAAATAACTATGATCCCACTTTCTATTCCAAACTGAACCTCAGTGCCCAGGTGCTATTTCGAGAAGACACAAATCAAAATGACATTCAGTTCATTGGTAGTTTGATATATATGAAAGACTGTGATATAATGGCTGAAGTCCTGTTGCCAAGCTATGCTCGTGTAACTCGAAGCAACTGTGCACATGTATATCAAAACTAGTTACTCTGTGCAACTCATGCAATTTGGTCTGTCTGGGTGTAATGCCCTGCAATGTTCCACAGGCTACATTATGCCACCTGCAACTGGATTTTAGCCAATAATGAAAAAAATGTGTTTTATATTATGGTAAGACTAAAATAATTAGCTTCTAATTATAAGAAATAGAATTTTGACTCGTGCTGTCGAGCAGTCAAACATGCTGCCTTCAACAGTAGCAGTCTTTTCCTTAATTAGAGATTTTGATGTGGAGTCGCGCTGACCATGTGACCACGGAAACTGTCTATGGACAAATGCTGGCTCTGTGGCTTGGAAACGGGGATGAGCATTGCGCCGTAGAGTCGGACACGACTGGACTTAATGTCAAGGGGGGAACGTTTACCTTTACCTTGTAGCCTACTTAGGAGGGATGTTGTAACATTGTGTTTCTGGCATCAGCAGGGGTTGAGGTCCCTTTTACTAGCTGCCTAGAGTGGTCGAAATGACTAGATAGGCAGGGTATGTATGTATGTATGTATGTATGTATGTATGTATGTATGTATGTATGTATGTATGTATGTATGTATGTATGTATAAATAAATAAATAAATAAATAAATAAATAAATAAATGATTGTTTTCTATCCAACCATGAAATGAAAGACTAAGATGGAAACCACATTAAAACCTCACAATTTCAATCCCTAAAAACTAGAAATGCCCCATAAAACTGTACTTTATACAAGGGACACATGATAAAAGAAAATCCAAATATACAACAGGATAATTCTGATATTTGCAACCAACTCTGAACTTGATAAGAATCGTAGCATATACTCACCCTTGCTGCACTGGCTGTAGTTGTAATATGACCTGGGTTTTTGTATCTTCTGGGTTCCCCCCTTCATTTCCTTCAGTTGGCACAACAACCACATCCCCTACAGGGATGCTCACTTCAGCATTTGCCATTTGCTCACATGAAGTCCAAAAAGCTGTGGGACAGGTGTACTGCAGGTGCAATACAAAAACAATGGCGTGGGGGTTGGTGGCTATTGCTTTGCAAGGACAGATAGTTTGCTGTCTGTGCCCACAGAATGAAAGACAGACGTTTCTAACTACACATAATTAATATGACCATAACAATATGTCACAGAGAACGACATGCATTGTACTCAGATTTTACAGCTGCCTGGGATAGAAAATAAGAGGGGAGCAAAGGCAGTAGAGTAACATTTAATTATTTCATGCTTAAGATTTATGAATGTTAGCCTCCAACATTTCACATCTGAAAACAGAGATATTAATTTTACAGTTCTGTGCACAGCTTCAGCATCACTGTCTATTGGCTACCACCAGCACTTCCATATATACATACTGCTAAATGTTATGGGGGCATCGTGTACAGTGTTAGTTTGGGATTGGAGAGATCCTCACTGGACCATGAAAATCACTGGATGGCCCCAGGCCAGTCACTCTGTTTCAGCTTAAGCCCACCGCAGTTTGGGAGAATAACTAGAGACAAGAGCCGTGTAAACCCCACAGAGGGAAGACAAAATATAAACATAACTGTGCTGTCTGCTATTCATGATCATCATTTCCTATGCAGCAGCCTATCCTCTAATTAAGTTAAAAGCCAAGTTGTGTGTTTGTTCTTGGATTAAAGACAATATTACTGAAAGGAGACAACATTACATCACTGTTAAAAGTATTTGCTGCTGCTACTGCTGTTATATGCTCTCAAGTCAAAATCGAGTTATACCGACCCAAATAGGGCTTTCAAGATTAGTGAGGTATTTAAGGAATAGTTTTACCAGTTCCACTCCCCCAGTGAGTTTCTATGGCAGAGCCTGAAAATCAAACCCAGCTCTACTGAATCTCAGTCCAGTACTCTATCCACTACACCACACTGGGTACCCATGTCAGTACTTATCGTGGGTGAAATGGGATAAACCTAAACATATGGTATTTTGATTCCATATACATCTGCATATGAATACATAAATAAAAGTATTTCAAGAGCCAGCCTTCAGGATAAACTAACAAGATATTACCCATTATCTACAGCAGGAGCAAAATCTAGTGTTTGAGCTTGACAAAACAAACATTTATTCTAAAGAAGCTTATTTCAATGGAGCTTACTCTCCAGGAATTCAAACACTGCAGCCTGTTAGCCTAGTCCTAGACTTACCGTAATCACTCAGATGTGTCCCATAGAATTCAGTATGGCTTACTCTCAAGTAGGTGTCCAATCAAATCAGAACCATAGCTCTAGGTTATCAAAAAATAAATTGTCAAGGGAGGTATTATTACATTTTCTTAGATTACTTAAGTCTAGTTCTTTATTATTATTATGAGGAAAAGCTGGCTTAAATGTGAACACAGTCCAGATCAAATTACATTATAATCGGTTAAGTGCTAACAAATATTTTGCCTCAGCCCACAATACTTTATGTGGGAAGCAAAATGATCTGAAATGTTTTTTGACATTAAACACGAGGAGGAAAAGGAAGAGAGACTTTCATGTTGGTGCCAGATTATCAAAAAGGCTTTGAAATCATATTCATTAAGAAATGGAAGGCAAGGCTTAGAAGGAGCAGGATTTGAGCTGCAACTTTTTTTGTAAGTGGCACATGTGCTGGAATGGCAATCTCCCTCTGTAGCATCATCTTGCATTAATTAGAATTTATTGTCATTGGCCACGTCAGTGGACGAAACTATGTACTCCACTGCTACTACTGCTTTTTGCGGGGTGGGCCACAATTACCCTTCTACAACAATTTTTCTTTTATAACTGAACATAAATTTTTGCCACTTTTTCTAGATGGCTTTTCTCAACATGTGTGTATGTATGTTCTGTGCTGTCAAGTCAGAAACAAGTCATAGTGACCTTAATATGGCTTTAAAACTAAGTCAGATATTTAAGGAGTGGTTTTACCAGTTGCATTCCCCCACTGAGTTGCCATGACCAAGTGGCGATTGAAACCCTATTCTCCTGAGTCCTAATCCATCACTCTATCCACTACACACCAGGAATTTCCAACATAACAAGGTTTTATTGCATTTTATCATTCATATGGAGTATTTTATTGCTGTGTATGTCATATGAATTGTTTTTGCGTTCTAGGTCTCATTGAAACAAAGAACATCAATGAAATGAAAATAATAACTAGTTCAGAAACTGGAAAAGAACTTGTCAGGCTATTGCTAGGTGTCATCTCAGATGTGTGTCTGGTCATGCACCTGATCGTGCAACCAAGATGTACCCCTAATACCTCATCAATTAGCTGCAACAAATCATGCACACCTTACCAGAATACAAATGGGATTCTGGCCATTATTGTTAAAATGGCTTTTGGGATTTTGAACTTTAAATAAATCCTTACTTCTAGGTTTTGGGTCAGTTCATGTCATACAGCGACATCTTCTCGTTGTATTAGCAGTGCTAGGGCACGCACCAATTCAGTATGTATAACAAAAGCAAAACTACTGTAACATCTCTAGGTAATGGACATACTAAACTGAATTTTCATGGGTTCCAGTCCACTTCCTCTTACATGCATCTGAATAAACTAAAATAAATAAACTGAAATTCTCACTGAAATAAATCTGTTACTGACAGAGGCCCGAGTACTTTTGTTTTGTAATATATGCAGAAACCAACTAAGACAGGGAGCTTTTTGAATAGTAATTCAACAAGGAAGGCTAAGCCACCCACCCCAGTCAAGAAACATGGAACTCCAAACGTATCTGAACATTTCTTGTGCTTTCACAGGTCACTGCAGCTGCTAAAATTTTGTTGTATGTGTATATACTTACCAGAGGCCCGAGTACTTTTGTTTTGTAATATATGCAGAAACCAACTAAGACAGGGAGCTTTTTGAATAGTAATTCAACAAGGAAGGCTAAGCCACCCACCCCAGTCAAGAAACATGGAACTCCAAACGTATCTGAACATTTCTTGTGCTTTCACAGGTCACTGCAGCTGCTAAAATTTTGTTGTATGTGTATATACTTACAATGACAATAAATTATT